GACCTCTGGCAAGTGGAGTTTGGATCCGATTCCAATGCAGGAAAGGGCCTTCCGTAGGTGTCTTTTCCTCATCCGCTCACCACGTTGGAGGCCAGCTCCCTCCTGAATCAGGATTTTGGGCTAGACCGGGATTCAGAGGGCCGTGTCGGAGCCTGGATTCCCTTTGGCCTCACGGGGGTAATATTCGGCCAAGATGCTTTCCGGGATCCGTTTCAGCAGCTCTTTGGGGAAGATCCGGAGCAACTGCCATCCTATGTCCAGGGACTCGAAGATGGTCCTGTTCTCGTAGGCGCCTGGGAGAAGCAGGCCGTAAACCCATTAGGAAGTGTGCGAAGTTTTAGATCAAAAGAACAGTAGCCGTTGCATTCAGACTTCACGACGGCTTCACAGGGCTTCAAAGGCCTCTCTTAGGGCATTTTACAGAGTCAGCCTCTTGCCCCCCCCGCCCCCCACACACACAATCTGCATTACTCGTTTTACTCAGAAGGACGGAAGGCTGACTCAACTTTGAGCTGGTCAGGATCGAACTGCTGGCAGTGGGCAGAGTCAGCCTGCAATGCTGCATTCTAACCACTGTGCCACCACAACTCATCTATCTTCAATGATAGATAGATGGATAGATGGAAGATGGAAGATGGAGAGAGAGAGAGAGAGAGAATGGATGATAGATAGATATAGACAGACAGATAATAGATGAGATAGATAGATAGATAGATAGATAGATAGATAGATAGATAGACAGACAGACAGACAGACAGATGACAGATGATAGATGATAGATGATAGCTATCTATCTATCTAGATGATAGATAGAAAGAGAGAGAGAATGGGTGATAGATAGAGACAGGCAGACAGATAATAGATGATAGATTAGATAGATAGATAGATAGATAGATAGATAGATAGATAGATAGATAGATAGATAGATAGATTGATTGATAGATAGATGATAGATGATAGATAGATAGATAGATAGATGATAGATGATAGATAGATAGATAGATAGATAGATAGATAGATAGATATAACACAGATAATAGATGATAGATGATAACTAGATAGATGATAGCTAGATAGATGATATAGATAGAGAGAGAGAGAGAGAATGGATGATAAATATAGACAGAGACAGATAATAGATGATAGATAGCTAGAGAGCTAGATGATAGCTAGCTAGATGATAGATAGATGATAGATAGATAGATAGATAGATAGATAGATAGATAGATAGATAGATAGATGATAGATAGATAGAGCAATTAAACTTAATATACTGCTTTCAAGTGCTTTCCAGCCCTCTCTAAACATTTTACAGGGTCGACCTCTTGCCCCCAACAATCTGGATCCTCATTTGACCGACCTCAGAAGGATGGGAGGCTGAATCAACCTTGAGCCAGTCAAGATCAAATTGCTGGCAGTGGGCAGAGTCAGCCTGCAATGCTGCATTCTCATCACTACACCACCAGGGCTGAAATCTGTATATTTTATTCCTTATACTGTCTCCGTCTTTCCTTACAACATTAACAGAATCCGCAATGGACTGAGAACGCGCGTTTCCACTAGAGAAACGACAGTCAAGCTGAAACTTAATCGAGTAAAAACAACAAAGGGGAGGAACTCTCTTACTCAAGCTTCCTCAAACAACTCTCCACCCCTTATAGGTTACCCAGACCTCATCCACAGGTCAGCAAAGAAGGTGTTTAAATTCTAAGCAAGAATGGGAAGACGCTTCTTCGGCTGAAGAGCCGAAGAAGCTTCTTGGATGAGAAGAAACGAAACGTCTTCAGAGAAAAAAAAACAGAAAGACCAGTTGCCTCTTGGAAGAAAAAAAAAGGGGGGGCACTTTTGGGACCTCCTTGTCCCTGGCTTTCTCCCACATACCTTGAGCAATGAACTGCTTCTCAAACTTCTGCAGGAACTCCAAGTAGAGAAGGTCATCGGCTGAGAGGGCCTCTTCTCCCACCACGGCTTTCATGGCCTGAACATCTTTGCCGATGGCGTAACACGCATACTGGGTGGAAAGCAAGAGAGTCACTCGGAATCCTGTCCTGGGTCACATCAAGAAATCAGGGAGGGGTTCCCCAGAAGCCCCTCTGGACAGGAAGGGGTCTGCTAGATGTGCCAAAAAAACACCTGAGTTTGCTAGTGCCATGTATGGCGTAAGTACGCCTTGATGTCAGGATTCCAGCAATCGCCCTAATTAAATCGTGATTCTCGAGCCAAACTTGAAAAACCCTCAAAGGATCTATTAGAGGCAACATATTGCCACTGTCCTGTATGAAGCCAACTCTGGCATATGTAATTTACAGTCCTCTGTGACCCTGTTCCCCCCCCCCCCCCCC